TTAATTTGAAATATTTATCTGAATTGATAGTTTTAATATAAATGCTTAATAACATGTGTCTCCGCACATGGTATGTGTAAGACTTTAGAAGCCAATGAATTGAGAGTAATTGCATTTGCATATTATCCATATATTATTATCCGTGACAAGATCCCTTTGTTTAGCATTCTGCCTGCCGGGCCAAGTCTTGTTAGCGAGCACCTATTAAACCGGCTGCATTGCAGCGGCGTGGCCAAGACCATGGGGACCCTGGCTGCCTTTGTCTCCCCGCCTTTGCTGATTTAGACCACATCAGGTGCATTCCTCAATTGAGACCAGGTTAACCTACACCTAGGGCGCAGGTCAATGGTCAATGACAGATGATTAATTGTACATCATGGAAATGGATCGGGACTCGGGTTCGCTGGGACCATGGTGCAATGGGCTAAGCATTGCACAGCCGCTCGGCCACGATAAACAGGATGACAGGTGCTCGCTAACATCACTAGCCAGTGACGCGGTGCACAACTCAACAGAGTGTTTGTACATGCGTACAGCGCACACGCGGACGGGAACGGAAAACAATACATTTTACAGAAATATCCCCCCGTACATTCTCCGCGATACTCTCTCAGCCCGCTGAGCCAATCCTAATAACATTATACAATTAATTACAAAAATATTCATATTGTGTACGGCGCAGCTACGCACGCTGGAAGTGTGGTTTGCTAAAGGAAAAAAAAAGGGTTGGTTTTGAAATGCCGCTGTTAGCCAGAATGGGAAAATACAAATCATTTCATATATATATACTGTATATACTTACACACACACACACCAATATCGAGCTGAGTGGTACTGTGGTCAGAACGCTTGACTCACAATTGTAAAGGTTACGGGGGTTCAAACCCTGGTTAGGGGTCACCTCAGGCCATCGATTCCCCAGATGTCTACAGAATAATAATTTGTGAGAAATCAGCAGCAGCTGTATTTAGAATACCGTGGTGCCGGTCATGAATGTGGAATTGTATCTACTTCCCAATAGCGTGTTTGAGTCGAAAGACTCCAAACGTGCAAAGTTGCGCTGCTGAAATCATCATCACTATCAGTCGTCATCATCGTCGTTGTTGTCATCGTCGTCATCGTCAGCCATGGTTAATCCACTGCTGGATGAAGGCCTCCACAAAGCCACTGCCACCTCTCAAGACGAATTATCGGTTCCAGTGGGAAAGTCAAGTGGTTGGTTCTCTATGAATAAACTGGCCACTGTCATGGGAATGTGGAATTTACAACGCTGGCTCAGGGCTACACCAATGGAGATGAATGTCAACCAGGGAGATATGGACTTTCTTTTATATTATGCAAATCATCTAGCGTGCACATCAGAGCTCTGAAACAACCTCAAAAGCACTCTCAATGGAATTAAAAGTTAAACATTACAGGGTCGCTGTCTTTTAAAGGAAAATGACATTTTCTTTTGCAAGCCAAATACATAAATAATGCACGCTTCTTATTTCCCCCCAAACTCATTAGTGACTTGGCACGCCAGAGTGGCGGTCAAAAGTTGAAAACTTAACCACGTAAATATACTGCTGCCGAATTTCTGATGTTCATTTGATCAAATGCTATTCAAACGTCTCAATTATGGCAATTTAAAGTCACTTTTCCCATTATAATCTAGGGGATCTAAATGTATTCCATTCATTACAAAAGTCAAGGTTTCTCCTTGCCCAAGTGAGAGTAGGGGGGCAGACATGTTCATTGGTGCACATATACCAGTGGCACAGATGGCAGTCTGTAGTCAGTAGTGGAATTCCACATTCCTATGGCAAGAGCTATAACAAAGTGGTACTTACTTTATGCTGTCCAGTGGGGACAACTGTGATGGGCCGAGTCAATCCCTGACCTGGATTTGAACTTTAACCTCCGGAGTGGGTAGTCAATCCGAGTGATTTCTAAAAAAAAAAAAAATCTAACAGATTGAAACACATCCTTTTGGATTTTAAACAGGCCCTCGCTGATAAATTTTAAATATGAAAATATAGATATGTAATAACAATGTAAGTTTACAACGCGCACGGCATTGGAACAGGCGATGATATAGCTGGGCCTGGCAAAAAGCGCGATTTCAGTTCGACTCCTGCCGATGAAAAAAATCGAATCTTTCGGATTTACTTTCGAACAGTGCTGCTTGTTACTGACCGCTTGCCGTTTTTTTACGGGCCATCGTAGCCCCCTCCTGGCTCCACAACGATAGAAGACCAAAAACGAACCCCAACAAATAGGTGGGGGCAAACGTGGGTGGTACTCCTCCTTCAATAACGACGCGGGAGGTCACAAGTGTGGCGGCACCGTGTTCACGCCGCACGATATGACCCCTCCACCCCGCCCCATATATTCATCGTGTGAAATCGCGATCGTGGTCGCAGCGTGCAAATTGACGTCGTGTGGTATCGCGACAAGTAGCATCGTCCCGACCCTCCTCGCTCGCCACCGTGGGAAGCTGGGTGAAGAGTCCTTTTTGAATCACATCCAGTTGAAGACGCACGTGTTTTCGAGAACCTAATGCTTAGGTCAAAACAAAAAAAAACGTGTACGTTGGTGGGGGCTCAATCGGTGGTGAAAATTCCACATTTTCATGACATTGGTCAGTGTTCTCCGCAGATAACCAGCCGTGTTCTTTTCTTATAAAGTGGCGTGACGAACTTGACCTCCGTAGCTCAATGTTTCAACTTCTGTGTACCGAACACAGTATTCAAGGGATAGATAGCCCATTGTCTTGGGTCAAGCGTGTAAATAAAACACTTTTAGATGCCGAGTGTTGGTGGATCAACACCCCGTTACACTTGATACTTCCACCTCAAAAGACTGATGTGGGCAGGGAAATGATTCATAGCAAGTAGATGGTCTAACCTTAATGTATTTTTTATACATTTCACTTCGTAGATGTGGGTTTTCTCTGGGGCATTGTAGTTTGCTCCCACTTGCGTAAGAAAGGGATCAGCCAAACATTCAATTTCTCGTGCAAAATGACCGTAATATGGTGAGATTTAAAAATATTGATGGTTATTTCATAACAAAGTGATGGATGTGTGTGCTGTGATGCTATTAGCTTTACGTCAATATAACGTCTAGGAGAGAAGTGAAAACTTTTCACAAAGCGAGCTGCCATGTCTCTAACTCGACAGAACGTCCCACAATAATTTTTTTTTATAAATGGAAATTCGGTCAAAGTAAAAATATCAGACTGACTCAGAAAGTCAAAGAAGCCTCTCTGCTCAAGTGAACATGGAGTGGGTGCTCATTTACTGACACCCCCGGAGGCCGTGGTGGAAATTCCACATTGCTATGGCAAGTTTCTGCGATCCTTGCAAAACTGAAACTACGATCGCTGCGGCACTGAACGGCTCAAGTAAGCAACAGTTGCCCGAAAAGTTGAAGAGCAATAAGTGTCAAGTTGCACTGCAAATGCCTTCCCTGCAAGGGCCTGTTTGAGTGTGAATCCAGAAGCTCTGCTTCTGAGTACTGAACCAAAAAAACCCACAGAAACACCTTGCTTTCCCCCGTTGGAGGCCCACTTACTTTACAAATTTTGAAAATTCCACTTTGCCACGACAGTGGACTTGTGTTTTAGTCGTAGAAAGAAAAAAACACTGTTGACTTCAGACAAAAGTGGTTACTCATTTTATGGACCCAGGGGATGATAGGATGGAGCTCAACTGGCCGTCTTGAATTTGACCTCGCGACCATCGAATTGCACTCTGACCTCTGCGCCACCAAGCTGGATACCGAGTGCTGTACCAACGGCACAAAAATGCAACATTTTTTTTGGTCTTAATTTTTTTACGAACCCCACCCATTCTGCCTACCATGGTCGTTCTGTTAAACATCCTTCAGACAGCATAGCTAGACGCGCACACGGGGAATCTTCCGCGAAACACAATGCCGGGAGAGGGGGCCCTATTCGCCAGCGGTGCCTTCAATCGGCGTCTCAAGCCCGCCTCTCGAGTGTGTGCAGGCTCTTACAGCGGTCACGACTGAATTGCTGTCGTTTGTGTTTGTATATGTCCAAATCGCAAAAGAATCGCGGTTTGGGATGTGACAGACATTCAGAAAAGGTCTGGTGTTTGTTGGGAAGAGGGAGGGGGGGAATTGATGCTTAAATAACGCAGAATCTTAAGCACGAATCCAGGATCTGTGAAGATAACATCGCAATAAGATGAATAAACTCAAACTATGCACGCAACGGTGGATCGACTCACTGATGATAACGCATTGTCGTCTTAAAATATCGCGAGCGAGAATCTCTTATTTTCTGTCCACATGCGTCGCGTCCCATGTGAAAGTGACAGATTGGTGGGCGCCGTCATCCAACAAAGGACAGATCATGGCTGCTGCTGATGATAAATCCTGCAGTCACTACAGGTGCGCTCCATTCACAAAAATATATATCTAATAATTGATTCTTGTATGGAATTTGTATGCGGAATTATGACAATCAATTCAATCGTAACGGTGGCCCATCACTGCCTGCCTTAACAAAGGGCTCTATAAATATATTCTTGCCACGTGAAATGAAGTGCCACGCACACACACACACAAACATTTCAGTGTTGGGAACAAAACGCAACAACAAAAGTGTTTTTTTTCTTCGTGCTGCCATTGGGAGACTGGGCTGAGAGCATTGACAGTCGACGTGCAACGTGAAACTCCCAGTTCGACAGCAGGACGAGGCTGAAACACGGATTTGAACCCAGGTATTGGTGCCAGCTCGGTGTACCTGACATGGCTATTACGAGTCCCCTCCTCATTGCGGCAGCCACACACCCACCAGCCCACTCACCAGCCCACTAACCCACCAGCCCACACACCAGCCCACCCACCAACCCACCCACCAACACACCCACCAACACACCCAACAAGCCTTCCAACAACCCACCCACCAACCAACACACCCACCAACCCACCCACGCACCCAACAAGCCACCCAACAAGCCACCCACCCACCAACCAACACACCCACTGAGTGGCAGCGCACGAAAGGAGGGGGAAGGGGTGGGAAGCAATCACGCGTCGGCCGCACGGAATGCCTGGGGCAGCGGCTGCCGGGCCTGCCTCTGCGTGGGCTTCCCTCGGAGCGAGCCGAAGATGTTGCCGAGGCGGAAGGAGGAAGAATGGGTGAGGCGAGACCGCGAGGTCGTTCCGGCGCTCCGAGGAAGTTTCTTGCTTTGAGAAAACTGCGAGTCCTGCGAGTCAGCCGCGATCCGGGGAGGGAGGGACAGACACAGAGCGCAAGGTGAAGTCGTCACGCGCGTCGGTTCTACCGCGCAGACGCTGTGCAGGAGGTCTCTCGTTGCTCGCACACGAGACTTGGGGCATGCGTGTATGTTGAACCGTGCAGAGCCAACAAAATAACATGACAACGCACAGCTCAAGGGAACCTGACTGGCACCCGTTATCTCTGTCACACGAGTGATCGTGTATATGTGAAGACTTGTTTTCCTGTCGTAGGAACACAAAAACAAGTATTTATCATCAAGTATTTATCATTTAACAAGGTTGAACTGGGCGTGATAATGTATGTACTGTGTGTATGTTGAACTTCTTTTGCTCGTACGTGCTAATAGGAGGTGCGGAGTAAGGGCAACAAACTAAACCAAAAAGTACTTTTTTTTAAAACATGAGTTTCAACCAATATTTAAAGGTGCGTAGCTCCAAGTCACTTCCTAATATCGGTAGAACGTTCCAGACGGCCGCAGAAGCGCATCCGAAAGCGCGTGATGCGGTGACCGTCTTTGTTCAGTGTACAAGATGAGAATGCCATGGCAGCGATCGTGTCCACGAACGGTCAAAGAAGCCGAGATGAAAATTCCACATTCCTGTGGTGGAAGCTGGCCTATTCAAAGGACACTCACTTTTGCCTTGTTGACTAAGTGGTACTTATTTTGTACACCGAATCGGGAAGATGTTGATGGTGGTTGGCTCATGAGTTGACACTGCCAGGCTTTGGAGGTTGTGACCTGCCTGGCAGTCAGGCTCACTTGCTCCCTTGAGCCACTTCACCCGGATTTTAATACTAATAATAACTTACATTTGTAAAGTGGTGCATTTCATCCTTAGATTCCTAACGCAACCAATGTGCATGGAAAGCCAGTAAACAAACAGAACCTGCACAGGGTAAACCGCCAGAACTAGGGGGTAGAGACCAGTTTACAGAGGCGAGTTTTCAAGACAGGACTTTAGCAGCTCTAACGGCTCCGATTGTGCAGCCCTGCAATGTTTTCATTGTGCCACTGTCAAAATGAAAAATACATTTGCCGAAATGAAAAATAAATTGAAAATACGTAGCAAGTGCCACTGCTGGATCTGACGCACACTCGCCCGCTCGCCCACCCACTCGCGCCGCTCCGATTTAGCACGGTTGACTACGTACGGTGCGAAAGAAGTTCAACGTGCACACGGGACACACACACCTGCCCACTTACTGGAAGGGCCCTCCGCGAGCGTACACTTTGGCCTACTCTTCTAGGCTGGCGTGACGTGTCAAGAAAGGGTTGCGAGCGACAACGCAATTGACCCAACCACACGCGGCCTGCCGACCGACGCCGCGTGGAGAGATGCGACGGAGGGGGGAGAACTTTATGAAGTGGGCCCATTATTTTAGTTTTAACCTGCGACCTCTGGATTGCAAGCCTAGCTTTGGTTACCATCACACCATGGGGGCATCATCACATATTTGCAACGTAAGCTTGTATTTTTTTGGATTGAATTATCTTGGATATCCTTGCGGAATAATCGGCAATAATACGGCAGGCATGTGCATTCACGCGGCTCACCTTGTCGGTGCAGTCCATGGTGATGATGCTTTCGCATGAGTCTGCGGCACAAAGCACAGAGCGGGTTTTTTGTCGTTGCATCGCTCGACAAAAAAAAAAACGCACACAGCATTGAGATTGAGGGCGGGAGGTAAAACACCGTCAGCACACCGACACGTCCACCGACCTGGTTAGACGCCTCTCACCAAGCGCTTGGCGTCGTTCGTGAACTCCAGGAACATTGTCCCGATGGGACAAGACGGCAAATATTACAGCGGGTTGTTGTTTTCCTTTTGGGCTAGAAATGATTTCGTATGTTACTAAATTACTCAATCCCTCCTCCCCATTTCCTAATTTCATTTTACCAAGACTCACTGAGCTATGACAGAAGCGACCTGGCCACAAGTGATCACTCAACGAAGTGGCTTATTGCGTGTAAATGTATACCAGACAAATACCCATGAGACCACCGGGAGAGAGACACGCAAACTCCAAATATACAGACGCCAGGGTTGTGATCGAAGCCACGATGTCCTGCATACCAGGTGAGGTCGTCACCTCGTCACCACAGTACCCCTATTGCCTACCTCGCTCACTCACTCAACCATTGATCCATCTGACTCACCTGCTCCACCAATGAGTTGCCCACCTCCTTACATACCAACCCACAGATCCCACTTGCTCGATCGCTCACTCACAACCACTCGTCCACCCATTATTCACCCTGTCCACCCACCAAGTGACCTCATCCACTAAACCGCAAACTCACCCATCTACTCACACAGCCTGCAGATCAACCCACTTAACTCATTTACTCACCCACCGACTCACCTACCTGCCCCCTCACTCACTCACCGACCCACTCACTCACTCAACTACCAATCCACACACCGACACTCACCTCATCCACAATGCGACTAACTTACCCACCTTTTCACACAATCCACAAGATCCACCCACTTACAACCCCACCCACTCACTCATGTGTCCATTCACTAACTCATCATCCACTTGCCAACCCACCCACCCATTCACTCACAAACCCACCCACCCATTATCTCACCCAGTCACTCATCTCCCCACCCATCCACTCACTCACTCACTCACTCACCCACCCACCCACCCAACCATTCACCTCACTAACCTGCCCGTTCACTCACAGACTCGCTCATTCAACCACCGGACGAGGCCCTCTCGTCACGGGATGAAACCCTCACCTCCATCGGCGAGGTCCCGCAGGGAGCCGCTGAGGTTGCCCCTCCTCATGGACGGCCGCTCCTCCGCCGCCGGGATGCAGCTATCGTCGAGGCTGCCCCGCGGGACGCTGCCCAGGCTGCCCTGGTGCTGCCCCCCCTTGCCATCGCGGCCCGGGGAAGGAGGCGGCCGGACCACCATGTTCTGCTTCTCCAGCTCGGCTGGCGGGGAGAGAGGGGCACGCGCCGCTGGGACACAGGCGCGACTCCTCCTGCTGCTTCACGTCGCACGCCGCTCTCACCGCGTCGCGTGGCGCTTTCACACGCGCTCCTGCGGCCGTCTGGAACGCTCTTCCTTCCGATATTAGGAAGCCACTGGAGCTAAGCACTTTTGAATCATCATCTAAATTGCAAACTCATTTCTTTTGAACCTATTTTTGTCTTTAGGTTGTTGTCCTTCTCCCGCACCTCCGATTCGCGCAATTCGCTACATACGGTGCGAAAGAAGTTCAACATATATACATATGTACCTCTTTGTCCAGGTTCTAATGAGCCCTGCTCCATTCCAGCAACACGTTACCTATGTTCACGATTGGGCAATCGGCACGCCCCTCCTACACCTGACACGGCCGAACAAGTCGAGCAGCCGCGCAAACAAAACGTGGCGATTGAGATTGCGTTCATGTGAAACCCCACCAGCACCACCAGTACCTCGCGAGGGTTAAGAAACGTTCAGTGGGATCGTCGGGGCAACGTCGCCGGAGGGAACGATCACTGGCGGGGCGATCGCAACGACAGAACGACAGCCGGAGGATGGAGCGCGCTTGAGAGAGCGTGTCCACCGTGTACTTCACGGAGAGGAGAGGGGGGAGGGGGGAGAGGAGGTGGAGAGGGGGGAGAGAAGGGGGAGAGGGGGGGGGGGAGAGGAGGTGGAAAGGAGGGGGAGAGGGGGGGAGAGGGGGGGGAGAGGGGGGGAGAGGGGGGGGAGAGGAGGTGGAGAGGAGGGGGAAAGGCGGGGGAGAGGGGGGGAGAGGTGGGGGAGAGGTGGGGGAGAGGGGGGGGAGAGGTGGGGGAGAGGGGGGGGAGAGGTGGGGGAGAGGGGGGGTAGAGGGGGGGGAGAGGGGTGGGGAGAGGGGTGGGGAGAGGGGTGGGGAGAGGGGGGGGGGAGAGGGGGGGGGGCGTAGAGGGGGGAAGAGGGGGGGGAAAGGGGGGGGAGAGGAGGTGGAGAGGGGGGGAGAGGTGGGGGAGAGGGGGGGAGGGGGAGAGAGGAGGTGGAGAGGGGGGGGAGAAGAGGAGAGAGGGGGGAGAGGAGGGGGGGAGGAGAGGGGGGGAGGGGGAGAGAGGAGGAAGAGAGGGGAGGGGGGAGAGAGAGGGGGGAGGAGGAGGTGGGAGCGACTGGGCTCATGGATCTGCGCACCGCATTGCGCGACGCGGCCATTCCGTGCCTCCTCCGGAGTGACCACCCAGTCGCCTGTCAGATTCCCATCGCTCTGCAGCAGTTCGGGGGCTGAATTGATAGGGGTTCTTTGAAAGTGCGAAAATCCCATTGCCTTCATCCCTCAAAACTTTTATTTTCCCGAGAAAAAGGGAGGATTGGTGGTGGGGGTTAGGCAGGATGGAAATCGCTATCCAGTTCTACATTCTAATCATGGGACCTCTTTGCCGCGATCAAAGTATGAGAAGTAAGAATAGGTGTTTACTCGTTCTGGCAATAAAACAGGAGGTGTTAAGATGTTCAAACACCAAATAGAAACCTTTGACAATGAATCAAGTAGTGCATTAACCGCACGTACCTGTGCTGAATACGCAAACAAACTCTGTGAGTGCATTGTCTTAGAAACGTAGTGGCCTACACCAGAGAGGGCCTTCTTCATGGCCCAGTCTCACCAGTGTCAGACCAGAGAACGCCGAAAGGCCAATCATTTTCGAAGACAAGACACTACATTATAAGAGTTTGTTTGTACGTTCACCACAGGACCGTGTGGTTATTGCCGAATTGATTGCTTGCAAAAAAAGTACTACATTATACAAGCCCCTGACACACAGCCCCCCCCGCCGCCCCCCATGTGCCCCCTGAATCCAACCAGAGAACAGATTCGCATTTTGCGAATGCGACGGCGGCGGCACTGGTCGGCCTCTCTAATCCACTTGCGTCGCGCGCTGCGTAACAACGTGGGGGACGCAGGCATTTGTGCTCGTGTGCGTGTGTGCGAGTGTGCGCATGCACGCACGCTCTCACGGAACACCGCGAGTGTGTGAGCGAGCGTGGCAGCGGTTCCCATCGTGGTCGGTGTGCTGCGTTCAGTTCCCGCTCACGGCCGACACCCGGTGACGATTATCTGAGCCGATCCTGGGCCTCCTCTAGGTCGACTCAGCCTTAAAAATTACTACCTGGTATAGTGTGTAAACATCACCACTGGGGAGACAAAGGCGGCGTGGTATTAGCCACCTACCCATTCTCCTATGTAGTGCTGGCCTTCATTGATGCTCGCTAACAGCACTTGCCCTAACAGTCTGTTACAGGCTATACGGAGGATCTTTATCTTTGTGTGCACACACGCTATGTAACAGCACGTGTGTGTGAGTACATGGGGAGCAGCAGTGTAGCGGTAAGCGCTACGCTGCGCTACAAACCCAGTGACCCGAGTTTGATTCCCGCTCACGGCCAATAACAATGACGATTATCGTAACTGGTCCCGAGCCTCCCCTAGGTCGACTCGGCCTCAAATGAGTACCTGGTGCGGTGTATAAACATGTCCACGAGGGAGACAGAGGCAGCCCAGAGTGGTGCCGGCTAGACCAACCCTCGCGTGCCATGCCGGCTTTAATATATGCTCGCTAACAGCACTTGTCCCAACAGTCTGTTAAAGGCTATACGGGAGATCTGTCTTTTATTTGCCCCACGGCAATCCGTATAGAACACGACCAGCACAGTTGCCAAAGTTGAATTTGTGACCGCGATGCACAGCGCTTGCGGCAACATGAACCTGAACCTCACCTCCCTTAGGTTCACTCGGCCTAAAGCCGCAGCAGGATCAGAGTGTGATCATTGAACGTCAGTCGTCGTGGAAACAAAGGCAACGTGGCTTACGTGGTGTACATCCAGTGGAATTGGCCTTAACAGGCTCTCACTTAACACACACGCGCGTCAGTGTTCAAGTAAAAAAATCGCACGCGACAGCGCGAGAGCGAAACGCAACTTTGACAGATTCGGGCTTTGAGTGTGGTAGAGCGCGTGGGACGCCTTTTCACGTCGGATTACAACCTCGCAACAAAACACAACAACAACAAAACCATTCAAGCCTCAGGTAAAGTGGTTATTTTAGAACACAATACGTGTCCAAAAGAAATGCCAGACTCCACGTGGAAAGCTCGCGATACCACCTACACAGCAGGCGCCGCTGGAAGGACTCGGCAGAGGCAAGAGATAACCTTCATTTTAAAGGTCGCGGTTTTAGCGGAGTTGGCAGGGTGGCGAAAAACCTCGTCAGGTCACGAGCACGCCACCCGGTGACAGATCCCCCCCCCCCCCCCCCCCCCCCCCCCCCGAAGGGTTTCACATCCATGGTTCAGCCGCCCCGAAATGGTCACGGGGTCTCCTTGTGTCTGGCGAGTTGGTGGTCTCGGCCCGGTCACCCAATGACCACGTTGACTGCCAACTCTCCACCGCCCCCCCACACCGCTCCCGGTGATATGAACAATGCCACCATCGGCAAGATCGGCAGAGAAGCGGAGGAGGAGGTATTCTGTGAAGCTCGCGAAGTGTAAACCACGGCACCTTCGCGGGAGCTGTGGCAGTATGATGATAAAACACGTATGCTTATTATTTGCGGTAAATGTAGCTTGTCACTGCATTCAGTGTATTCCGGCTTTTAAAATGAAGTTAAATTAAATGTCGCCATGCGATACAGCACATCCGATTAGCGTGGTTGGCTACGTGCGGTGCGAAAGAAGTTCAAACATATCCAAACCCTGAAATCACCTAATCTTGGAAGCGGAGGTGAGTTGACCTTGTTTAGTATTTGGTTTGAGATGGAACGGTGATTGATAAGTTTCTTTTTCACACGCATTGTGATGCCACGTTACCAGAAGCGCTCCAGCCTGCCTTTGTCCGTCCCTTAATTTTATAATTGCGATTCCGATCCACCTTCAATAACTTCTCTTGGTACAAATATTCTGTGTTGTTTTCCGGTCGTGCCACTCCCGACAATTATTTTAATTAGCTTAGAAAAATTCCTGCGTTTTATTTTATTTGTTTTTGCTCTCACGTATCTCAAGTGCGGTCTTCACTCTGATAATTTCCTGCAATTCATTTCCATCACTTGACATAATGGACGTGATGATACTCTGATTAACCCAACACACCTTGGGTGGGAATCTAACCCGGTGCCCCTGCGCCGTGGGTTCTGCAATAAACCCGGGCGGCTGCTTTGCTAACATTTAAAAGCCGATTCACGACAAACGTCAATCTGATGGACACAAATGGCAGTTAAGAGGACGTGAAAGCTGATGGAGGGATGTTGTTGATGTCATGACCCATCGCGTTCAGCTGTGTGATAAGGTTAGAACGATTCACCCACCCGGCAATCTTTTTCTGAATCAAACATGTATTTTTTTTGTCTCGTTATTGTCTCATTATTGTTCGTTTTTTTTCTCTCTCCCTGAATCCTCCATTCACGCAACTCGAGCTCAAGTCGCTTCACGAGCTTGAAATGTAACACGAGCATATAATTTGCACGCGGTTTAAACTTGCCGGAATCGTAACTAATCCGTTCTTACACACGTGAGATACGAGCTTTTTTTTCCAATTTCGACTTTGCATCTAAATTTGTTACCGAGACGCCCGTAGCCACTAGAGGCCGCTACATTCACTGCAACGTTGTGAAGCCAAATCGGGTTTCTTGAATCTACAACAATTTCTATTTTATAAGGTAAGGACAACTGAGCTAGATAGCTTTTTTCAGAAGCGAACTGGCCACAAATGACAGCACAACGAAGTGGCTTATCACGTAGAAATTTACAACGAGTGTTTCGAAACGTGGAGGGAAAAACCAAAGGACCCAGAAAAAATCCAGGTGACCAAGGAGAGAACACACAAACGCCAAATATAAAGCAGGCGTCAAGATCGAACCCACGACCTCCTGCATACCAGGCGAGGTAGCTAACATCTCATAGCCACCGCGATCCCCTTGGCACGCAGGGTCACGTGGACGTCCACTCGAGTGCCACTCCTCATTTGGCTGCGGCTCCATCGCTCGTCTCGACCAGTGGGTATCGTACCTTCCAGGGATGCGTCCAGTCCCCCAGCCCACTTACTCTCCTTAATGGTCAACAATGACTGCCGGGTCCCAACCTTACACTTGTTGTATATGTAGTAGAGTTACCCACTCGATATTCACAAACTGGGAGAGCTAATCGTTGACAAGGTTTTCCCGCTCAAACTAACGGTCAGGGTCTCACAAGTTGTGAGACGCTGACCGTAAACAAGGTTTTCCCGCGCGACCTAACGGTCAGGGTCAGATAGGGTGAATTGGGATCGAAAAGCAGATTGGGAACGACCAATCACAGGGTTCCACAAGGTGGCCGGGGATTGGACAACCCGGCCACGAACGAGTATAAAGCCAGAACGCTCAGAGCTCTCGGGGAGTTCGACGACACGAAGACCCAAGACGGCGGAAGAAGCATAGGACCCTGGACCAAGCCCTCCAGTCTAGGGGTTCAGAGTAACCAGTGGTCAGGGAGACATCTCCCTAGGTCCAGTCAGAGGACACTGAAGGAGCGGGGTATGAGTAGCCTGTAGGCTTGTACGTTCGGAGTGTAACGGGTGAGGGGACCGTATACCCCTCAGTGCATAGGGACTGTATTCACAAATAAAGTGTGTGCTACTAAAAGACGTTGAAGAGTCTGTCTGTACAATACTACATTTATATATTTAAAAAAAGGCAAACATTACAAAAATAAAAAAGTGTTTTTTTACTTATTGCATGTCGAACTTATTTCGCACCGTACGTAGCCAACCGTGCTAATTGGAGGCGCTGCCATGTCTGGGAAAGGTCGCACCTTCGCGATGACCCCGCGCTACGAGAATGGCGCAAATACCAAAACACACGGACAATTAGATTACCCTGGAAAAATTGAACGTTGACTTGCGGGCAAAGATCCAGCGCCCCCCCCCGCCCACCTCCCAATTGCTTGCTCGCGGTCACCGCCAGCGGAAGCGAACCCCCCCCCCCCCCTGCTCGGCCCCCCCTCTTCCGACACGCCGCATCGCAGCGGGGGGGTTACCTTCGATGCGCACGCGGTCCATCTCGTGCACCTCGGAGATGCATTCCTGGAGCTCGCGCGAGAAGCGCCAGCGGTCCTCTAGGCTCGGCACGGCGAAGTTGCCCAGCGTACTGACGTCGAGCCCGGGGGCGGCCGACACCAGCGACAGGCCGTACGAGTAGTCTGGCGCGGGAGAGGGCGGAAGGTGTTCAAGCGCAAGCAAATAAATAAACTGAGCATTACGTAGCGCTGTCGGGTAATAGTGTAATCAGAATATTGATTGATATCCGGGGAAATGCGATGAGCTCTTTTGCACACGTGCCCAGGAGGCACGCGGGTCAGAAAGTTACAACAAAGAATACGTAAAACACGATGGGAGTGCAAAGTGTAGGCAATATATGCTAATTCATAATCACCGTTTTTGGGTTCAGATCGCGTTATTTATAAATGTGTCGTAACCCTTCACCACCCGACATGGTCAATCAGCAAAAAAGTGTCACGTTGACAAAAGACAAATAGTTCACTGCTTTAGCCCACCGGTGTGTTGAAGCGTGAAACCACAACATTTACAATTTGAGTGCGACGTTTCGCTGGTAATTACATCCAGCATCATCGGGCAATTCGCCAGAATGCCGAGGCTCCTGCTCTGTCTCCCGTTCTTATATAGAGCAGCAGCAGGGTGACGTCATCATTATATAAGCAAATCACTAAAAAAGAATATGAAAAAATGTTTGACTCAAAATAAACTTTATTTTTATTTTAACAGGCCAAGCCCACAATGGGGGCCTCTGCTGCATTAGTGAGTTGGTGAGTGGGTGAGTGGGTGAGTGGATGAGTGGGTGAGTGACAGGGACAGTGGAGTGGGCAAATGGGTGAGTAGGTGAGTTGGGTGAGTGGGTGGTGAATAGGTGGTTGCAGTGCCCGAGTGAATCGCAGGGTGGATGTATGAATTGCATTCAATTGCATTCAAATGCACCTTTAAAATATGTACGGTAAATATAAATATACAAATACAAAGACAAGGATCACCCGTATAGCCTTAGCAGACTGTAGGAGCAAGTGCTGTTAGCGAGCACCTATGAAGGTTGGCAGGGCACACGAGGAGGTGGGTGGCCAGTACCACGCCCGGCCGCCTTTGTCTCCCTAGTGGCGATGTTTACACATCGCACCAGGTACACATTTGAGGCCGAGTTGATCTAGGGGAGCATTATAACCGGTTTAGATAATCGTCACTGGGTGTTGACCATGAGCGGGAATCGAACTCGGGTCCCCGGGTTTGTAGCGCAGCGCGCTAACCGCTACACCACCGCTCCCCGCACGTGTAGATATACACACACAAATTCGTTTTTGTTCCTGCACATCGTGATATTAGTTCGGCATCTTGAGATGCAGTGACATTTCGACATTATATATATATAAATACAAAGCCTTTTGTGTTGCATCGCACGGAGATAAGCAAAAGCACTCAAACATGGCTCTCTGTCTACGCTGCGCACGATCAGCATTGCCGCTCACTCACATTGATTTTCAAAGTGCAGCACTTGCATCCCATAGAGGCTGAACGCCTGCCGGAAACTGTACGTGCTGCCCTGCTTTCGCCGCTGCAAAATCTTAGTCACCTGATGGGAAGAGGAGGGCGGCCCCCGGAGAGAATTAAACAAAACACGAATCTGTAACGGAGTTGAGCGAAATCTTATTAACCCTTTCCCGTTCCGAGACGTCTGCAAGTTGCAGGGTGGGTGGTGTCCCGTTCGCCGCAGAATCTCGGAACGGACGAGCGGTTTAATTTGATGTAGAGAGGCGTAGTAGCACCGTTGTTTTTAAAGACATTGCACTCACCGCAGAGAACCGTAGCGACACGACCGAAATACTCTATGATTGCTGGCACCAAAATTGTGCCACACGCCCTCCCACATGGCCTTGTGGGAGCCTCAGTACCGACAACGTTTTTTTATTTTACTTGATGATGCTCAAATATGCCATTTGTGCATCATCAAGTATCATAAATGGTGAAAAATAAAACATTCAGGGGGAGGCGAGGACTGGCATCTTTCTCTTTATGAATGAAATATAATTGTATTTTAAATACATTTTCTTGACAATGAACATCCAGGAAAGAGGACAGCATGTTGGAGAGTGACAGTTCCGAGATCACGGGGTCACCGATCGGGCTCCGCTGAACGTTCTGCTGCCAAGTCCTGGCTTCGAGACCTCGCGCTGTTTTAAAAATCGCGTTTGAACGTCAAACCGGCAAAACGATTAATGATAAAAGTTACTTTAATTTCACAGCTTTGTGGCGCGTCGCTTATCGCCGGGACACTCTTTGGTTGTCAGGTCAAACAAACTGCCGCCTCCCATGACGAGCCGTATGCACAGAAAAAGCTAAAACATTCCGTCATCATTATTATGAATAATTTTTTTTTATTCCAACTCGTGGCACGCGACCATCGGGGCCCCGCAGCAGCTGTGTGGCCAGGCGGGGTGGGGGGAGGGTGGGGCGGAGGGTGGGGGGAGTGGGAGGGGAGCGGGGTGGAGGGGGCTGAGTGGGGGGGGGGGCTCCCCTGCAGTTACCACGAGGAGGTCGTTGAAGAGGAAGACCTCACGCTGATGCAGCCCGGCCCTCTGCGCTCGTGTCACGTCGGGCACCTCGAACAGCCGGCACAGGCACACGAGGCGCCGGTGGGGCAGCGACAGCACCTGGCGGGTGGACGGACGGCAACGTCAAGGAAGGACAGGGAGAGGAAAATTACTATAATTCAAGTCGTTGAATGATACACCAAACAATTTTTTTTATCGGTACCAAGCAAGGCCCACTGAGCTAGTAAAGCTGTTTTTCAGAAGCCACCTGGCCACAAATGATAGCTCGACCACGTGGCTTATCATCACGTGGAAATTTATAGCAGGCCAAATACTCTAAGCGCATGTCGATTCTAAATGTGGAGAGAGAAAACCAGGACAAAATTTCATACGTACACGGGGAGAGAGAACACGCAAACTCTAATTATATAGGCGTTCAGGGTCGGGATCGAATCCACAACCTCCTGTATACCAGGCGAGGGAGATAACATCTCGTCACCGCAGCGCCCGTTTACATTAACAACAACAACCACCTACCCATGAAGCGAAACATCACAAATGTCACCTCGTTGCACATTTGAGTCCCGATCCCCCTTCCTGCGCATCGTGCTGTCACCATCCTAGGAACGCTCCCTGCGCCGTAGACATCCTTTCCCTGCGCATTCCCCCATAGCCTCGTCGCCAATCAACTCCACCGTTATCACGCACGACCAAGTTGCGGCACGCGATGACACTATCAAGAATAATAATTAGAATAACGGTTTCACAAATGAACGGCATGAGCACAGCAGCCTCCGCGCCCACCACCGCTGCCGTGAATTGCAACATCGACATGCACACAACGTTGACTCAAGTGGACGCTGGCTGGGCGGTAAGCAGAGGTCGCAAACGGGTTTTGATTCCTTACCCGTACCCGGCCGCACCAGGGTCGCAAACGGGTACCCGTACCCGTACCCGGCCGGGTATGGGTACCTGTACGCTACCCGTACCCTACCCGAAATGAGTGACAAACGGTTACTCACCGGTGACTCACGGCCTACTCGTACCCGTACCCGGCCGCACCAGGGTCGCAAACGGGTACCCGTACCCGTACCTGGCCGGGTACGGGTAGCCGGGTATCGGGTAGCATACGGGTACCCGGTTGTGACCTCTGGCGCTAAGCCAGGGACGGACGACGCATCGTCAATAACAGCGCCAAGTGCACTTACATCAAAAGTGGCGATTTTGAGACTGGGCAGGTGGTGGTCGTGGGGTTAGTGGCGGACGGAAGGAGGATCAGCATTACAATAGAATCTCTCTCAAGCGGAGCAACAATTCACCTGCCGTGCCCTCCACCCCCCCCCCACCTTGGCAAATACACAAATAGAGTTGGGAACAAGGTGGCGAGATGTTAACTATGCCCACCTGGTACACAGCATGTCGTGGGTTCGATCCCGACCCTGGCGCCTGTATATTTGAGAGTCTGCATGGTCTCTCACCCTCTCTCTCGCCCCAGTGGCCGCGCGGCTCTTTCTCCGCGTCCTCCGTTGTTCTTCCCCCCCCCCCCCACTTCCACCATTTAGAAGTCAACGTGGGTTCGGCGTATTTGGCCGCGAGAAATTTCCACGTGATGACAAGCCACTTCTCGTTGGGCGATCATTTGTGGCCAGGGCCCTTCTGAAAAAGCGCCATTTAGCCAAGTTGGGGGGCCTTACCTGGTAAAAATCTAAAATAAAGGTTCAGATTTAATGTTCACGCAGAGTCGGTGCTGCGGGAAGGGAGAGCTGCCGCCGCCGGAAGTGATCTTGGCTTTATTCCGGCTTACTTTCTGTGCTCTGTGAATACGCCGCACTTTCTTTGCAGCCTCTGCCCGCTCGCCCGAGCCTCGGAAGGGCGCCACTTTAGCCATCTGGCAGTGCCGCCTGACAGCGGCAAACGCTCCGCGCCTGTCGCGAGTAATTGGCCGGGAGAGGCCTCGGATAATGGGTTACAAATGCACATAATAGGCCCGTTTCAGAGACCCCGGTAATTTTTTTTTAGCCTCCTACCAAATTGTGGGGGGGAAAGCCACACGTCGTGGTAGGGTGCCGAATCCGTTAATATTCAGCAATCGGATTGGGGGGGGCGGGAGGGAGTAGGGGGGTGGCCAATGCAGATAATGTGACTGGACGTGAGGTGACTGGAGCTGCATGTGTGTGGACTGGGGTGACAATGGCGGCCAGGCATGGTGCCGGCTACCGACCCCCTCGTGTGCCGTGCCGGCCTTCATTGGTGCTCACTAACAGCACTTGCCCCTACAGTCTGTTAAGGCTATGTGGGGGGGGGAACTTTGTTTGTTGTTGTGCGTGGACGTAGCGCCCGAGAGCGTCCGCGGACCTTAAAACACCGCGGCGTGCAGACTCACGAGCGTGGGCCCACGGTGAGCCTCCGTTATCCACATCAACGTGGCCAGTAACCCCAATGCCGACGTGGCCGGTCCCACGTCAATCAGACCGACTCCATGGAGCGACAAGGTGGACCACATTGCCACAGAGACTGAAGCCACGTGAGCCACGAGAACCACACTGCAAGCCGGACGGAGCCAACGTAAGCAGACTCGATCCAATGTAAACCAGAACCGGCAGAATGTAAAGTAAACTGATCAGGTATAAAAACTCACCGTAAGACTAAACACGTGTCCAACTTCAACATGTAATCCCATTTAAACAAGGCTGACCCGAGGTGGTCTAGAATACTCACCTAATGCAAAGTAGACGACTAACTGTACATGTAAACCGGACCAGACTGACTCAATGTGAAGAAAACGGGAAACTAGCCCAACAGTGTAAACTAAGCAGCCCAAATTCATACTTTTATTTTTTTTCGACGGCTGACGTGGATGCAGACCAACGCCAACCCGGCTGAGCGAACGCAAACTTCACCGGAGCGCCGATGGACAAAGGGAGCGAACCGTAACCGTGGGGGGGGGGGGGGGGGGGGGGGGGCGGGCGGGGGGCGGCACAATACGCTCGCCGGATCGTACCGGCCGGCGCCCCACGATGGTGGCCTCCACCGCCACCACCTGGGTCACGTGATCCGGGTCGGTGGCCAGCTCCTGCTTGCGGATCCGTTCGTAGATCCCGACGAGGAAGTCTCGCGGGATGTCCTCCCCGTCGTCCACGCCTGCGCACGGACGGGGCCGCGGGGGGAGAAATGCGGGCGAGCACGCTGTGACCTTCGTGGCGTCCGCGCGCGATCCGCCAACCCCCGCCGCTCCTCCGCAGCGCTGGACTTACAGGCGTTGTTCCAATTCGTCTGTAATGCGCGCGTGTGCACAGCAGCAGCAGCGGCTAGACATTGTTCCACTGCGGGCGCAGCAAGACTGTGGGGGGCTGCCGCAGTGGAGATGGAGAGGTGACATCGGCTCGTGCGCAGGGTGCTCGAGCTGCATGCGTGCGTGTTGAACTTCTTTCGCACAGTACGTAGCCAATTGTGAGAATCGGAAGTGAGGGGAAGCACAACAAACTGGGGGCATCGTTACACTGCAGGGCCGTGAGACATGGCGACGGCTTGGGGAGGACTTCATCAAGATATTGGATTGATCATGGCCGTTGACGATCGGGTAACTCAGTGGTACGGTTCACCCACCACGTCTCCCCTGGGCCAGCGATTGTCTCGAGTGACGGCTCCAGAGCTAGCAGTGGAAACTCCACATTTCCAAATTATAGTAGGTATGCCAATAACATGTAAATTTAGTATTTGAGCCCAAGAGTAACCTGCTTTGTTGCAACCGTTTTGGTGGTGGCGATGACAATGATTGCACCGATCGTAGTGGCGGCGTCAATGCTGCTGCCACTCCTGCTCCTGCCACTGCTATCAGTGCCCCTGCTGCTGCTGCTGTTATTGCCACTGATACTGCTGTCACAACTGATAGTGCTGCTGCTGCCGCTCCTCTCACAGCTGTCGTCAATGCGAGTGCTATTGATACTGTTGCTGGTGCTATTGCCGATAGAGCCGCTGCTATTGCTGCTGTTCCTACTGATGATGTTCCCGCTGCTGCCGCTCATGCTACAATCGCTGCTGATGCTGCTGCCGCTATGGCTATTGCAGCTGTTACTGTTGCTGCTGCTGTTGTTATTGCTACTGCTGTCAGCACCGCTATTGCTGTTACCCAAGTCACATATACTCGCTGCTGCTGCTGCTGTTATTGCTACTGCTGTCACTCAAGTCACATATACTCGCTGCTGCTGCTGCTGTTATTGCTACTGCTGTCACTCAAGTCACATATACTCGCTGCTGCTGCTGCTGCTGTTATTGCTACTGCTGTCACTCAAGTCACATATACTCGCTGCTGCTGCTGCTGCTGTTATTGCTACTGCTGTCACTCAAGTCACATATACTCGCTGCTGCTGCTGCTGCTGTTATTGCTACTGCTGTCACTCAAGTCACATATACTCGCTGCTGCTGCTGTTATTGCTACTGCTGTCACTCAAGTCACATATACTCGCTGCTGCTGCTGCTGTTATTGCTACTGCTGTCACTCAAGTCACATATACTCGCTGCTGCTGCTGCTGTTATTGCTACTGCTGTCACTCAAGTCACATATACTCGCTGCTGCTGCTGCTGTTATTGCTACTGCTGTCACTCAAGTCACATATACTCGCTGCTGCTGCTGCTGTTATTGCTACTGCTGTCACTCAAGTCACATATACTCGCTGCTGCTGCTGCTGTTATTGCTGCGACTTGCTACTTGGTGCCATCACCGCCTACCGCCGCCGCTGACCGCGCAGGTTCTTGATGAAGTCGTCGAGGCGCATCTTGCGGTCGTGCCGCACGCTGGGGCTGTACATGTCGGTGTTGAGCAGCACGATGGCGAAGGCGAGCACGAACACCGTGTCCTCGCTGCACAGCGACGACACCACCGCCGGGTTGCACGCGCAGTAGCGCCGGCTTGGGGCGCGACGCGCGCAGGAGAGACAAGCAACGCAAAAGGTTCAACCACAACGCCCGTACGCCCCGCCCCCCGCCGTGCGGTGGTCTGCACAGACTGTTGGGGCTGTTTAGTGGCGAGCAGCACCTGTGAAGGCCGGCACGCACGGCGCACGAGGAAGGGGTGGGGTGATCAGCACGAAGTGCTTGATGTCCTTCCCCCGCACCTCCGATAAGCACAGTTGGTCACGTACGGTGCTCAAAAAGTTCAACATACGTACTTGTAGTCTCCCACGTGGTCTAAGCTCCCCTGTCTTTACCAGCCCGCACTGACCGCCACATATACATAAGTGGTGGTTATTCGACCAAACCCGACCAAACTGGCCAATGTGGGCTGGTGAAGACAGGGGAGCGTAGATCACGCGAGAGAGTCCAAGTACAGCCAGGGTCATCCACGGGGGGTTGCGGGGCCAGTGGCAAACTATGCACCACGTGGGCCCCCTCACCCCGACGCCTTCAAACTAAACCGAAAGCGTTCCGTCTGACCCCGTGACGTTGGAAGCGCGTGGGCCCCCTCAAAGCGCAGTGCCCGGGGCGGTCGCCCCCCATTCGCCGGTTACCCCTAGTGACGGCTCTCCAGGAAACAGTCACCATCGGTCGCGAGCCCGTGGCTGCAGCCCAGCGGTCTCCACGAGACCCACCCATCTCTGTGCCTCACAGGCATCTTCCATTGCCACTTCCACCGCAACGTCGTCTCGATTTCACCTTTAGCGGCCTCGAGCGTTTCGCAACCTAACATTTCCCTCTCTGCAGAAACAATCCTCAGGTGACCTCTGTTCAAATGGAAACTTTCATTATAGTAACGGTAACGTTTTAGGTCGGAATCAGAATATTTATTTATACTGGAGGAATCCGATGAGCTGTGAAGCTCTTTTTCACAGATGTCCAGTAGGGCATCGTTCATGTCATTTGCATCTCGCAATCGCCGAGGAACAATGGGCGAGCTGGAAGGCAAGCCCGGCGGTACGCGCTGGTGCTAACAATTTTCAAAGCTCTGTGGTCCTCTACATGTTAAGATGTTTGCAGCCAATTACTTGAGCATTTATGCATTGTACAGAATATCGAGGCATGGTCCCATTAACGTGCTTTACAAATTCCAAATTGTAATGCAGTATATGGATTTTTTTTTTACAGATTCCTACATCACGCAGCATTTCCTAAACACAAACATACGGAAACTGTGGCCTTGGTCAGCACTGAAATATGTTTACCCCAAGGCGGGTGCTTATGCCGTTATTTAAGATTTCAGAACAAGGATTGATCGTTGCACATTTTATAATTGCGAGCTAATTGCTGTATAATTTAAGGACAAATGATGGATAGATAAACTATGCGCAAGTCCCCAAGATTAATTCCATAATCGTTGCAAGGTAATTGATGAGTGATTGATGCGTGGCTAATTCTTGCATGCCAATTTATGATAATTAAAAGGAACCCACTTATAGGTCACGCGTTTAATGAACAGTAGATTAAAAATAGGATCTCAATAGGATTTTAAAGACTCATTACACCTTGTACCGTACACCTTACTTAAAAAGTAAACTTTGCAAAAAAAAATACGAGCAATTTATCAGCAGCGTTGTGGAACGTGTGCAAAACTTCGGCTTCAAATTAAGTCAGCTCGATGGGGCTCATTGCCTCGGCGGACTCAATGGCTGAGTCAGAGACACTGGACCAGAAATCTTGACCAATCTGAGTTCCAATCCAGGTTCAGGCCACCATTGATTCAACGAGGCTACCACGTGCGAGAGCTGACCGGTCACAGCCCAGTCACAAATGTCGACGCAATGTGTCCCTCAACAAGCAAGCACTGGCAGCCCCTAGCTTCCGGTGGAAGTTCCACATTCCCATGACAGTGGCCAGTCCCTCCAATGGACGACCGGCGTTTACATCTCAAATAGAGGGACTCATTTTAGGCTGTAACGGAGGATATTTTTTCGTCTCTTTCACGCGTGCGATTTGGTGCGCGTGCACGTCCACGCGTGCACGTACACGCACCACAGTCCCGAAGAATCACGCTTGGATGGCCAGGCAACATTACGAGCACAATGCCGTAGACATTCAGCATTTTGACACCCGCACGGACCCCCCCCCCCTAGGTCGACTCGGCCCGATTTGCGAAATTCACCTGAAGACCTCCACAAGCCGCTCCACCTTCTGTGCCTCTCCCTGCAGTCGCACGTGCGTCTGGAACAGTCGCAGAGCCTCGTCCAGCTCCAGGCCTGAGAAGTCCATCTCGTCCACAAAGCACCTGCTCGCACAGAACCAAAGCCAAAGATACCCCCACCCCGTATAGCCTTAACAGACTGTTTGGGGCAAGTACTGTTCGCGAGTAGCACCTACGAAGGCCGGCACCGCACATGAGGGGGTGGTGGTGGGTGGCCAGCACCACGACTGGCCCACCTTTGTCGCCCCAGTGCTGATGTGTTTCCACACCGCACAAGCTACAGGTTGCTCATCGATTATCAGGCGAGCGATTTATCTGGCTGCTTCCAACATTTTTCCCCTTCCCCCCCTTCCCCCCAAGCCGCCGGATCATCGCTGATCGATTATAACAATCTCAGGTCGAGTGGACGATCCTTATGAGGTCCAGGACGGATGAGGTCGCCGGCGTCATAGCGCGGGGTTGCTTTACCACTGTGCCACCACTTCCCAATGCCACTTCCCACTGCCACTTCCACCCCGTGGACAAGCCTTACAAAAGCGAGATGTTCCGTCTCTTGTGGATTTTTTTCCAAGGTGACGTATTAAAAAAAATATATATATATATAATGCGCGTCTATGTTGACAGTGATGAATATATTGTGCACACAAGACGCACGTCCGCTATTTATAAACGCAGCTCCAGATGCCATCTCGATCCAAGATGCCGTGGGGTACAAAACAGAGGCAGACGCGTCCCCACCCACGGCATTCACACAAGGTGCCGTTCACCACAGTGGCTTGGATCTCCGAGGCCCAGTCGTGTGAGCGCAGGGCTGGCTGAGCACCGGTGCATTCCGGGTGCTATAGGTGCGTGCTGCGATGGTTGTTCAGCAAACCACACCGCGCCAGTCAGTGCAAGGGGCATCGGCGTTGGGCACATGGTACAGTACAACGATGCATTCTGCTGCACTGCCCTCCGCCGACAAAGTATCCCTTCCAAAACGGATTCTAGCGCCTGGTTATGCACGCAGCGTGGTTACCCATACCAGGTACCATCCAGGCTCAATGCTGCTTTAGCTTCTAAGATATAATGAGGTGAGTAGCATTCTGGGTGATTTTGTCAAGGCAGACATATGTAGAAATTTTAGCAATAACATATACAAACACGCACAGACGAAGATCCCCCTTACAGCGACAAAAGACTTTTGGGGCAAGAGCTGTTGGCGAGTGGCATCTATTGAGGCCGTCACGGTGCACGAGGGGGTAGGTGGCCAACACCACGCCAGACGACCTTTGTCTCCCAAGTGACGATGTTTACACACCGCACCAGGTACGACCAAGGAGATGCCCAGGATTAGTTCAGATAATCGTCACCGGTGTTAGCCATTAGCGGGAATCGAACTTGGGTCGTGGGGGGTTCATAGAGCGGAGCACACTAGCCAACCTCAGGTAAGACAGGTTTCAACAGTGCAGTCGGCCATTGCTCCAAGCCTTATCTTATCGTACCCTCGAAATTTGACTTACACCGTCGGCTCCGAGCCTTCGATGGAAAAACGATCGCCAACCCCGCGCCCTTTCAAACAGGAAGACACTTCAGAACTTTTGACTCCAGCTGCTTTGCAGATTTTCCTCCGAGCACCTCCGGCTACGAGGTGGAAGCGGGGGAGGGAGGGGTTGTAACCAACCCGCGGTTACGGCCGGCCTGGTTTTCCGCGTGCGGCGGCACTCACTCGAGGACGTCGCGGTTGAACGGCCGCTGCCGGTTGCCCAGGAACTCGCCGATCATCTGGCGACTGAGGCCCTTGCGCTGCAGCAGGAAGTGAGCGGCCGCCGACGCAGTGGCGCCCACGAAGCCCCGTGACACGAGGAATGCGAGGCCCTTCTCAGGCTTCCTGGTGCACACAAATGGAAAGCGTCACCCATGTGGCCTACGCAGACTGTCCGGGGCAAGTGCGGTGAAGCGAGCAGTTATGAAGGCCCGACATGCACACTTTCGTATTTGTCCACAGCGTGCCGTTATTCGCGCACGCTACAATGTACGTTGAGCCTCTTTCTTTTTGAATGTCTTTCGCATCGTTAGTAGCCAACTGTGCTAATCGGAGGTGCGGGTGAAGGACAACAAGCTAAACACAAAATGAGGTTCGAAAGAAACGAGTATTTAATCTGCGTTTAAAAGTGCATAGCTTCAGTGGCTTCATAATATCGGAAGAGCGTTTGAGCGATCCCGGAGAAATGATGGGAGAGTCAAGCCTCGGACAGGATGTGAACTCGTGAAAACTTCTGATTCTCTGCAAACCTCCTGGCTACCATCAAAGGTTTGTACACGAAGCCATACAAATATACAAACACAGACATAATTTCAACCGTGATGATGGGTACAAACTTAGTAATCATTGGAAAGATGTTATTAACCACGCAAAAAAGACTTAATTACACTTTTTTGACCATCTTATCTGACAGGCACTAGTTTACTTTACTTTACCGAGTGTTAACATCCCCAGTGTTTAACAGTAATCTCTTCATTGTTCAGCCAGCATTGGTATAAACATACGCATTTTCTTTCTTTTCTCATGTGTATCAGACCTCCCCCCTCCCCCCTCTCTGTCCAATGCGTTGGCGTGGGCAGCAGTGTGTCGCTTGCGCACAATAGCTTCCACGCCGTCGCCCACCCCCTTTTGTTGGCCCTTCTCTCCCGATACTTTCCATTCATTGGCTACCACATTCTGATGAGCCCCCCCCCCCTCTCCTCCCCCCTCAACTCGCTTTTAAGGGATTACATCTTGAATCATTGCCTCACTTGATGCAGCTGATCTGGCTGTGACTGTCCCACCTGATGACGGAGACTTGTGTTGCCTCCGAAACGTCGTGATCTTTATTTTTATTTTATTATTTTATTAATTTTGATGTTTTACCTACGTGACTTTACCGAAAACACCGAAGAATTCTGATTGAGAGGCACTCAGTCTATCGCCGAGCCTCCTGGGTGCATAAACCACACAATATGCATGCAAAAACACAATTCAAACAGCAAAAACATAACAGGAATCTAAAGAATGCTTTGCATGTGAAGAGAACATCACAATTGTGGTGCATTTTCTGTACACAGCCTTTTCACAGCCACGAGCTCAAAAGAGGCGAGATTGTGGCATTAATTTAGTCAGCAGAAGGCCAACAAAGGCAACTGCACAGCGGCCTCATCCTTGTTACGAGACAGCAGATTCTTGAACGGTGAATGCGCACAAGAAAGGCGATATCGTCGGTGAACACAGAAGCCACGCTGGGATGACCCCTTGTTCTTGTGCGCCGTATTATCGTTTGTTTCCCAGCCTGGCTGCCGAATTGCCTCTTCGGCCCGAGGGAAGGGCTCGAGAAATGTTTTTGCCACCCCCACCACCCTCCACCTCGCTCGCGACAACGATCGCCGGCCCGGGCGAGCGGCGTGTTTATCACACCAACCCCCCCCGCCCGCCCCCCATGTGGTTTCCGTAGGGGGGGGGTGGGGGGGGAGCCGGTCGCGTACAGTTTTGCAAAAAAGCCCCCACCCGCCCCCCCCTGCAATGGATTGAGTGTGGGGCCCATTCGCTCTAGCCCCCACCCGGTCACCGACTGAGATAGCATCCTACAACGCTGTGCCTTAACCGGACAGCAATGCGGTGCGCAGTGGTAACTCTTCTGCGTCGTGCTAACAAGGGTCTGCGAGGGGGGGGGGGTCCCGACCTTTCCGTGTCGAGTTTGTATGTTCTCCTCCGGTCTTCTGCCGCGGGAAAATGAAACGTGCAATGCAAATTATACAAACCAAACATCCCGCGGGTGAGCGATTACCTTCATATTTTTCTAATTGGAATTACACAGCAGCAGCAGCAAACGCTGCCACCCCCTTACTTTCGAAAACTTGGCAGGACCCTCGTGAAAAACGAGGCTTGAGAATCGGCGAGGCTTTCTGGCAGATACCAAGCATCGCAACAGAAAACTAATAACAAGAATAATGAACGGAAAGCATGGCGTGCAATCCTATTCTGCCCAACAGCCGATGCTTTGTTTTTCACATCAGCTCATTAATTGGTGGCAATGAACTGCAAAAATAAACCAAAGTTGTGTTTTTTTCTGCCTTTAAGTAAACACACAACGCTGTGCCACGAATTAGCATCATTCCTCCGGGGAGGAGGGGGCCAAGAGAATATATTTACATGTATACCCAGAAAGGAACATTTAATGGACCTAGGGTCGTTTAACGATGCTATCTTTTCCGTTTCCTTGAACGAACCAATTTGCCGCGGGGACGATCACGCTTATTCTTGGCTGCTTTGCACTCCCTGATGAGCGCAGTTGTTGTTGTTGTTGCCGTAGTGCAGGTCGCACGTTTCCCCTCCATTCGTGAGTGGCACTTCGAAAACGAAGCAATGCGGTTTTTGTTTTTGCTCACAGAGATGCAACTTTTAAGAGGTGGGTGGGTGGGTAGGTGAATGTGTGGGTGGATGGCTCCACAGGATCGTAATCGACTGTGGCTAGACAATGAGGCAACATTGAGAAACTGGGAAACGGGCCGAGGCCTCGGGCATTGCTAAACCGAGATCTCAAGTAACCACGCAACGCATCTGTTGGCCGTAGTTCGGTCGCCAATAACGATTCGGTTAAGTCACTGAATTTATCCGGAGCTACGGACGTGAGAAGGTGGTGTATTGTCGAGTAATATTGTCTCTGAGCTCATGGCAGGAGGATGACTACTACCTGTTCTGTTTGTTTGTGCCAGTCAATTTGAAGTTGTTCTTTCCATGTTTTTAGCTTTTCTGTACAGCACTTGCTGATAATACACAAATAAAAAGGTCCGGAAAAGTATAGTGGAGCAAATTGCAATGTTAAAAAAATGTGTGTATTTATTGAACCTGCTAAAAAAATGAAGTCCACTTCTGAATGAAAACAACAATACCATGTCAATAATGTAAACCCACGGTTCATTAAGATGTGTTGGGGATGATTTCATGTGTTTAAGGACATTAAAAAATTAGTTACAAGTTGTTAAGCATTCATTGCCTCTCAATTACGTTTTTAATTAACCATCGCAGCCTGTTAATAGAAACGATTAAAAAAATATTTAACTCTCAAAAAGCAAGAATTCAATATCTCCATTTTAATATTTGCATTTCAATAAGAAAGCCAAATGAAATATTTAACGAGTTGTTTAACCCTAATCCTTTCACAGTCAATTATAAAAAATTTAGTAATACAATATTCATTTATAAAACCGTATTAAATGACTTTAAGTCGCTTAATTGTAATTACTTATCATAGTAATAATAATAACATACCTGTCAACCCCTTATCAGTGCCCACCTTATTACAGACCAATTCAGACCTTATGGGTCACCCCGTGCCCCTTATAAGTCTCAACGTTCATCCTACAAAGCCCCATCACAAAGGAGAAACAAAAACAAATAGACAACAAAAATGTTGTTGCCCGTTTTGAAACGGCTGTACGCTGTATGGACCTGGAAACTCAATTTCCCTGTACAACAATATTGCAAACAGTATGGTTGTAAATGATGCGCTTCACCTAGGAAAGGCCTCACCGAGTCACAATAATGTTTGTCAGGAGGTTCTTGCTTTGGGATGTTAGGCCAATTCCATTGTCAGGTGTGTGGGGGCTTGAAGGACAAAAAAAAAGCCACGGCATACAAAGGGGTACACACAACTCCAGGCTCCGCACAGATGGATTCAATAATAATTTTAAGAATGGCAATTGACTCGTCTTGCCATTTGGAAAGTGCTTCACACTTGCCCGCAAAGTGGTACTCGTGTTATTATCCCTGGATAGAGAAGGTAAATTGATTCTGAAGGCCTGAGTTCTTTCCCCAAACAGGATTTGGAACTCGAGCCCAGCGCGAGAAACACGCAGTCTGAGCAACTCGAACGTGCCAGTGTCATTTATGTAGAATGCCGTGGATGTACGTAGCCAAACCGGCATAATTGGAGGTGCGGAAGAAGGATAACAAATAAAACCACGTAAAAAAAGTTATAAACAAATTACTTTTCAAATCTAGATTGTAAAGTATATGTCTTCAGTGGCTTCCTAATATCGGAAGGAAGAGCATTCCAGACGGCCACAGAAGCGCGTTTGAAAGCGCGATGGTTAGCCAAAAGCACATTTTGGCACAGAATTAGACCACACGTTTCTTCATCTGACCGGGTGATGTTGTGGTTATAGGGCTTGACTCACAATCGGAATGTCGCCAGTTTAAATCCCAGTCAGAGGGTGACTCAGCCCATCATCATCATCATAGTCGTCATCATCATAGTCGTCACCGTCATAATCATCATCCCTCTGAGGCCGATTACATTTTTGGGATATCAACGACACAGTCCCAAGGAAAAACTGGCTCCCACCACCATGGAAATGTTTAACTTCCTGCTAGTAGCTTGGCATTGCAAGTGGGGACGTGGACTGAAAGATTTGTGTGCACAGGGCATTTCAATTCCTCGGCAGGTCAAAGAGCATCACATCTTCTAGATTTGAAGTTTTCGTGACTGCAAGGATCTATACTCTTTGGTTCTTTCGGTAAAGTCACGCAGGTGGAAAGAAAAAAAAATAATAAAATGAAAATAACTAAATTAAATCACGACGTTTCGGAGGCAACACAAGCTTCCGTCATCAGGTGGAACAGCCACAGCAAAATTACTGTAGCGAGTAGCATCACATCTCATAATTTCAACCATCCCAATGCCTTGCTGCATTCTAGCCAAGGGACCCCCCCCCTGACACTGGTGAGACGAGCCCATGAAGAAGGATGTCTCTGTTGTGGGCCAATCAGTTTCACAGACAATGCACGTTGGGTTGCATGTTCACCACAAGTAGGTGTGGTTAATGTGAACTTGATTCCTCGCAAAATGTATCTATTTGGTGTTAGAACATCTTAACGCCTGTTTTGTTGCCAGAAAGGGTAAAACATATTGTTATGTTTTGATACTTTGAAATTGGCAAAAAAGAAAGGTTTCCATGATATGAAAAGGTGAATCAGCAAATCTGTTTATCAGTCTGAACTTGACTGTTGCCAAGTTTGATATTATTCCAAGGTTTTATTCAGTCTAACTGAGACTTGCTAAAAAAGAATGGCAACATTGATCGTAGATGTGGGTCCCTTTGAATCGAGGAACCGTCCGACCCAGTGTCGGGCATGAGCCAAATCTGCCCCTTTGGAACACGGAGCCAACCAACTGCCACCAGGCTGGGTGCTGCTATACGGCAAAAGACTGAAGCTTCCGTGTTCAGCTGCTCATGTAAACATTCGTCTTCCGACTGCTCTGACATGACGGGAACTGATTTTGATGGACCCCGCAAGATTTTCGGCTTTCGTTTTTTATACCGCTTCACCGGTGTGCCGCCAAATACGTCCAAACGCCACGACAGCTCCTCAATGCCACTGCCAGTCCGTGCCAAATTGCAAAGGGGAGGATGCCCCTCACCGTCAACTTGTTTTGGAGTTGCATCGTCCATCACTCGACGACTGGACATCAGGAGAAACTACCGGACATCTGTCTGACGAAGAGCTGCGTGAAGCTCATCGGATTCCTCCGGCGTGAATATTATATTCTGATTCGAAGTGGAACTTTTTGGCAAAATTGTTCTTTTCGAGAACAACATCAGACCAGTTACGCATGTGGCAAAAACATCGTCGCGGCATGCTTCCGTGCAAAAACGCACATCGCCCCCGTTCCTCCACTTCTCGTTCTGCGATTGTGAAATGGGTCCGGGGTTGATGATTGAGTGGAGTCAGGGTGGGGTTATAGGGTGGTGCTACGGAACCAGCTAACGATGGTGAACTATTCCCCCCCCCCCCCGCACCCACAAACGAAGAGGAATTTCCGGCCAACGCCTAAATTCTGAAAAGCGTGAAAACAAACTCTAGCGTGAGCCATGGGTCGCGCAACGCCCCAGGGGGGGTATGAAAGATTTTTGGGGGTGGTGTGGATGGGAGGGGGGCAGACTGCAGAATGCATGCTGAACAGGAGAAACTTTGAATATGTGCGGGGAGTGCCAGCACCATGTTTTGGGTGACAAAACACCAAGATGCACCAAGGAACGAATTCCTGACTCACACGCAGATACACAGCACGAAACATACATCTTACACAAAACAAACAGATACACAACACAAAACACATCTTACACAAAACACACAGATACACAGCACGAAACACACATCTTACACAAAACACACAGATACACAGCACGAAACACACATCTTACACAAAACACAGATACACAGCACGAAACACACATCTTACACAAAACACACAGATACACAACATTGCATCTCGTGACATGATTCTCGATCTAGATATTAAACATGACCCATCTTCCCGCCGCCGCTATAAACACACCCGTTGCAATATGCAACATGGTGGAAATTCCACATTCCTATGGTGTAGCGTCCAGTATCGAGCGAGGCCTACGAAGCGGTTCAAGTTTGTTTAGCTGCGTACGCAAAATACCTTCCACGATCGAATCAACTCTGAAGACGCGAAGGGTTTTGTCTGGTTAGTTACTTGGACGAGACACTCCCTGGAAATACCAAGTGAGTTGCAGAATGCCCAGGAGATGACGACTGAACCAATCTGTGTGGAGCTTTGGAGTGTTCAGCCCCTTTGTGTACACGCGTTTTATTCCCAGACAACTCCGATTTCCTCTCGCATGAAGGCAAGCACTCATCTTATTATCGTCGCATTTGGTATATCCTATTACAAGCCCATCGATCGACTTTACCGAAAGAACCTGGGCAACAATTCGATTCAAGAACTTCATTCTTTATTCTATTTTTAGCACGCTCTACATTCTGGGAACGGTGTGACCATTTCTTACTTTATCAGGTGTAAGGCCCACTGAGCCATATAGTTATTTATCAAAGTAACCTGGCCACAATTTAGAGCTCAACGAAGTGGCTGATTCACGTGGGAATTTAGAGCAGCCAAATACTCTTGAACGCGTGTTTCTACATGTGGAGGGGGAAACCGGAGGACACAGAGAAAAATCCAAGCGACCACGGGCAGAACATGCAAACCCCAAATATATCAGGCATCGTCAGTGTCGGGATCGAACCCAGGACACGTCCTGTATACCAGGCGAGGTAGTTAACATCTCGTCACTGCGGCACCCACTTGTTGAAGAGGTTGAGGCCCACGCGGTATTGACGCTTGCGCTGCGCCGCGACGCTGCTTGTGTCCCACCCCTGGAGGCCCCCGTCCCGCGGTATCGTCTCCACCTCGTCCAGGAAATCCAGCGACTCCACTCCCTGGTCCACGACCGCCATACCTCCTCCTCCTCCTCCCGTCGTCGTCGTCGCCGGTGCCGTAGCCACCGACGAACACAGCGAGGAGCCCTCCTCGGTTCGACACGTGCTCCCCTCCTCTTCGTCATCTCGCCGCACGGCCGACGAGCCCGTGTTGCCCTCTGCGCACAGGTCACCGTCATCATCCTCGCCGTCGCCATCGTCTCCGTCATCTCCCTCGTCGTCATTGCCTCCGTCGCTCCCGTTGACGCCGGTGAAGTCTTGGATGTTCCCACGCGGCGACTTGCCATTGTAAAGGCCCTGGTTCACGGCGACACATTGCCGGGCGTTACATTCCTGCGTCGTTCCGCTGCCCGCGTTGTCATCCCTTTCACCCGCTCGATCTGCCGGTTTTTCAGCTTCCGTAACTTTGTCGGCATCGCCCGCGGCGGTCTCGTCAACTTCCTTCACCGCCGCCAACAACTCCTCTCCTTCGCGGCTTAGCAGGCAGTGCATCGGCACTTTGTCCGTGACAACGCCGAAATCCCTGCTGCTCGTTTTCGGAGTGCGGCGCTCGCGGTTCCTCTGATCCACAACGTTCATGGAGGGCTCCGGCTTGTCACTGGGAATCGCACAGCTTCCTCCGATGATGCACTGCTCCTCGCTCGCTTGCAACCCATCGCTGCTCTCCGGTCCATCGTCGGGACGGGTCACGCAAACCTCGTCGCGGCCCGGTGGGACCAGCGTGTCCTCATCGATAAACAGGGTCACCTTGATGAAGGAGTCTGCCACTCCATTGCTCTCTCCTCTGTCACCTTCCGTGTCATCGTCGTCGTCGTCGTCGTCATGATCATTGCCTTCCACGTGATTGCCGCTCCGTTCATCTGTTTTCAAGTTACTGACGACGCTGGCGTGGCAGACATCACCTGGCCTGTTGACGGGAGCCTCGATGATGTCCTTGCCTTTCAAAACTGTTCCATCGAGGTTTTGCAAATCTTTGCTGCTCGCATGTTCATTGGAATGCAGGGAATTTTGATCTAAGCAGAGATCTTCCACAGCTGCAGGCGATGTCCTTGATTCAGCTGGAACAGTCGTAGCGTGATGGTCACCATCACCATCTACACCACCACCACCTTTGTCGTTGTCACCACAATCTCCACTGTTGCAGTCATTGCCACTACCATCAGCACCACCTACATCGCCACTACCGCCACCTCTGCCACTGTCAGCGCCAAAATCAATACCACCGCCACCACCGCCGCCACCTCCAATATCAGCCGCGTCTCCGCCACCACCTTCCGCTGCACCACCGCCACCACCACCGCCACCACCACCGGGAGTGTCGCGGGCACCGCGCTGATTGGCTGTGCGAGCCGTGGGGGATGGGGAGGGGGTGCTTGAGCTGCCGCCCCCCTTCGACGACATGCGGATTCGCTCGAACTGCTTGCGCATCTGGTGCTGCCGGAAGGCGGCCTGGATAGTGCGAGCGGCGCGCCGGCTCTCCGCGTATCCCCCGTAGCGTCTCTCCAGCACCTCGGTCTGTGGCGTTGGAGCCAGACGAAGGCACCGGAACGGAGGCAGCGCAGAGATGGAGAGAGATGGAGAGATGGGGAGAGATGGAGAGAGATGAGAGCATCATGGAGAGAGATGGAGAGATGGGGAGAGATGGAGAGAGAGAGAGCATCATATCAGGCAGGGGAGTTAACATCTTTCACACCGTATGTAGCCAACCGTTCTAATCGAACGTGCAGGGGAAGGCCAACAAACTAAGGTGTTCACAAAGATACATCTGTAACAAACGTCAAAACTCTTTCAACAGTTGGGGGTCAGCTCAAGCCTTCATCAATCCCAGCTCACTAAATATGAGTAACACTTTGTGGGAAATGAACAGGAGTTCTCTCTGCAGGTTATATATTCATCCTTGCCATTAGAATGTGGACTTTCTACGACTGGCTTAGGGGTTGCAAACGGGAGGCACGAGCACTGGCCAAAATCAGAGTGGAGAAAGCACTTTGACTTCTTTTAAGGGGGGAGAGTGGGGTTTTGGCTTCCGTCAAAAAAACTAACGCCTCTCTTTGCCAATGAGATGGTGCAGCCTTGCAATCTTACTCACACCACTCTTGGAGTAACAGCCTCTACTTGAGATAGTTCGAGAGGCAGAGCCGGCTTACCTGCTTGGCCTGGAGGTCCATCGACAGCTCGTAGGGGATGCCCGCGAGCGAGTGTTTGCGTCGCACGGTAACCCCGCTGACCCCCGGCTCGTCGAACCACAGCGGCCTCCTTGGCTGCTGCAGGCTGAGGCGCCGCTGCGTTCCCGCGGGGCGGTGCTCCGGTTCCACCAGGCGGTACGACGTCGCGGGCGACAGCGCAAAAAACGTCGAGGAGGGCGTGGATGAGGACGACGACGATGACGACGATGATGAAGAAGTGTTCGACGAGGTTGATTTGGGGGTCAGGGTGAAGGGGCAGGCGAGGTGTGATGTGACCGTCCGGGGGCAGCGGTCGGACGTCGTCGTCTTAGGGGCGGCAGACTGCAGATCGGTCGACAATGGGTGGAGGCTCGACGGAGCCTCGCCGGGGAACTCGATCGGATCCTCGGGACAGGCGTCCGTGGCATTTCCACTGGCGAATTCCGAGTCCGGGCTAGTGCTGTGGATTCCAAAAAGGAAGGCAAATGATGAATTGTGAAGATTTACGATTTTACACCGATCAGACGACTCACAAATCGGAAGGTCACGATGAAAATATCATTTGAAAATCCACCCAGTCGTCAACTGCTTTGGGTCGATAATATGCACTACATCCTGCTTTGTGGATATCAAACGTCTACCGCCTCAATTGTGTCACTGGACACTGCCATAGAAATGTGGAATGATCACCACTGGCTCCAAACACCAACAACAGCAATGAAAACTTTCCCTTACACCTCACTTATGCAGGATAGACCCTTTGAATTTTTACACTTTGGCTTATTAATTTCAAATCCAGAGTTGATGAGGACCACTGCAGGGTTAGTCAACAGTCGTCGTTGTCTTATGGAGAGACTGAACCACCGCCATAAGAATGTGGAATTGTATCACTGGCTCAGGGCTGTAAACGTAAAACGAGCACCGCTCAATGCTCGCCTGAGCGAGGAAATCACTTTTGGCTTTGACAAGCTGCTAGAATAATTTAAGTTTAATGTTATCAAATGAACTCACTGACGACACCATTAAACATTAAACTTATGAATAATCAATCGTGTATGTACATGCAATAATTATTTATAAGAAATATCTCCATATTTCGTTTGGTTATGGTCAACATTGCCATCGCAAAAAAATAAAAAGTCCAGACTGTACCACAAAGGCTGCCGTTTTCACACCAGGCACTAAGATCTGTTTTGTGTAGATTTCCTAGGCACAAACCGATCATGTGCTGGCAACCTTGCCCAAACACCCACACGACACTCAAGCTAAAGCCATCTAAACCCCAGCCACACCAGGATATTAACAACAGCACGGTTGCTACTCACAGCAGCGATGTTTGCCCGATCACAACGATCTAAGATTGGTTTTAATTTTATAACTGCCACCGAGGCTATTTCAATAAGAACCGGGAAGTGACGGTAGATTAGGAAATGGGGTGAGGCCTAACCTAGGGCCTGTTGTAGGCTTCAGAGCTGAAGCAAGGCGCAGTGCATGCAACAGAGGTTCCCTTTTCAGTGGAAAAAGGAAGTTGGTTTTGGAAACTTTCCTCATAGATTTTTTTTGCAAAACATTGCAATAGTTTTCAGTGTCCATTTGCACCAATTAATACATTTAATGCACTGCACATAGAGTATACGGTATAGTATATGAAACATACGAATAGGTGCAATATATTCCGTAATACAGGTTTTTTGGGTTTTATCGCGTAGATATGTGTCGTTTAACCCGCCACCACCCGACACAGCCAATTAGTAAGGTTTGTCAGGTAAACAGATCATGCCAATTCATTACTAGTACAGCACACCGGTGTGTTGGAAGCAGAGGTCGCAAACGGGTTTTGATTCCTTACCCGTACCCGTACCCGGCCGCACCAGGGTCACAAACGGGTACCCGTATCCGTACCCGTACCCGGCCAGGTACGGGTAGCCGGGTATCGGGTAGGGTACGGGTATCGGGTACCCAATTGTGACCTCTTGTTGGAAAGCGAAGCAGCAACATGCAAATGTTGTGGCTTTGCATGACAAACCTTACATTTATATATTTACGCGATCTAACCCAAAAAAACTTGTATTTATGGATGATATTGGTTGGAAAGCCTATGTGTTAAAAAGGTGCAATATACACAACCATAATTTTGCATTAAACTTCATGATTTAATCACATGCTACGTACACGGTAACGGGTCGCAGTGTTGGCACCTTGGTTAGGGCGCTGCGCTTCGAACCCATGACCATTTTGGCCTTCCTCCATTGGTGTATTCAGAATAGCTCGAATTAATTTGTATATACGGTGCAGTAGAACCCACTCAGATGTCACCGTGGTTAGAACTTCATTACAAATCTTGCAATTTCAAATCCCAGTCGGCGATGCAATCAGTACCTTTATTCCTCCGAGACAAATTGAGTGAGTAACCACCCCATAAGAAAGTCAAAATTGGTCATCCTCTAGTGAATACAAAATTGGAAGCATTGGCTCATCAAGGCCACGTATAGCGCTGTCAACTCTCCAGAATTTTCCGAAGGATCGTCCCCGCTCTTTGAGATAGCTGCTGTACTGGCAAATCTGTAAATCTTCCCAAAACATTAAAAGTCCCGGTTTTTTGTCAGTTGCATAATGATAATAATCATACACCACTCAAAAAAATGTAGTCACAGGTGCATGTTGTGATCCCCTCTTTTGGTATTCTCCCCCCAGAGATGTCCAGCTGGTAGGAATCTCATTATCCCCAACCGCAAGTACTCTTCTGCACAGGTGTACGCACGCGCGTGCACGATTTATATATGCGCCGCGTGTGGGATTTTATTATTACACAGAGGTGTGTGTATCTGTCACCAGAATGTGGGCATTAAGTTCGTCATTTTTCCATTCAATTATTTCCCCTGCCATGAGAGGAGGCAGTCGGTATACCTGCGCCACGGAAATTATTCATCCCCGAGTTTATTACGCATGGCGGGGACCACAGCAAAACATCATCACACGGCAACATTACAACTCCATCAACTAAACGGAGATGCAATTATATATTTTTTCCTCCCCGAATCCCTTCATTACAACCGTGCGGTACTGGTTTGTGTGTCGTGTGTGCATGAAGCGGCGGCGCAGAGATTAGCGCGCCGCGCTACGAACCCGGCGATCCGAGTACGATTCCCCGCTCACGGCCACCAAAACCGGTGGCGATCATCTGAACCGATCCTGGGCCTTGCCGAGGCTGACTCAGCCTCAAATGAGTATCTAGTGCGGTGTGTAAACATCGCCACTTGGGAGACAGGGCTGTCAGGCGTGGTGCTGACCATCCACCCCCTCGTGTGCTATGCCGGCTTTCATAAATGCTCGCTAACAGCACTTGCCCTCACAGTCTGTTAAGGCTATACGGGGGGGGAAGGGGGGGTTGGTGCGGGGGTGGATTCTTTGGATCATCTGTGCGGGTGTGTTGCACCAAGGCTGCATTAAGTCACCTAATTAACGAACGCTGTGTCCACGTTCGGATTTGTGTACGATATCAATTTCCTGAAAATGCAGCCTTGCAATTAGCAAGGTCAGGGGGCAAAGATCCTCGGGCAACTCAGCGGCCGTAGCCAACGAGTGCGCAGGTGGTGCAACTGGTCTGGGGGCTCAGGGCCTGGAGGGACCCAGTTGCTGGGTCACAAAGAAGAGAGGGGAGGGGGAATTGGATTCCTTTCACCCGGGGGTCATCGTAATAATGTTTTATATTCATGGTTCTTTCGGTAAAGTCACGTAGAAGGGAATAATAAAATAATAAAAAAAGTCATGCAGTGGAGAGCTGGCACCAACAATTTCCCAAGCTCCGTAGTCCTCTATATATGCAGATGTTTATCCACGGCCGGAGAAAACCCACGCGTGCAAGGGCGCGCGAACACCACTCTATCCCATAAAGAAGGGGGCATATTGCATTAATCCACCTTCTCCTGGCAAGTCTGGGTACACGGCACATCTACACCCTTCGCTGCTGCCTCCACAGCGCTGGATTACGTGGAGCGTAACCGCCGCCACCGCCACCACCGCGCGGTTTAACGCAGGGGGCTTTCGGTGCTGCAGCAGCACAGGGCCTGGGATTTTGAGAGCCCTCCACCCACCAGCCGCCCCCCTCCACCCCCATAAAATATATCGACTGCTTTATATCAGTTTATACACAATTTAGAAAGCACTATGATAAATCCAATAGGTAATCTGATCATTAAAGCAAGAGCTTCCGTTATGCGCCGGGATTAATGGTGCTTATTTGTCCGTGTTAACTTAGATTTATCTTCGTGACTCGCATGACAAATTTAAATTTAAAAAAAATTTAACAGGGGAATTGCAATGAAGAGTTTGGCATTGAGTACGGGTGGCAGTGAAATAGTCAAGGGAAGGAGGTGAATGCACAGAGGGCCCCCCAAAACTCCGAGCCCCTGGCCCCTCCAATCAAACATAACTCCGCCAACGTTCATGCCACCGAGAGTCCACCGACTTCATTTGTATTGCTGAAACGTTTATATTCATGAATTTAAAAAAACGACTTCTAAATCCAAACTTATCCCACCACCCATGCTAATTAGGCTTCACGGTCGCGGAAATTTCACACGCAATTAGCGAACACAATGCAAGATTCATGGCTTCGGGGTGCACGTTATTTTAAAGGGTTTAAGTCCCAAAGCTCGCGCGGCAATTCCACTATGCTCATTATAACTGTTTGCGGGGGGGGGGGGGGGGGGCTCTGAGCCACCGACGGAAATTCCACATTTACGTGGCAGGTGTCAGCCGACTCACAGCACCATTGAGTGGTGGCACAGCGCGTGTTGCTTGGTATAGCCGTGGCGGAGGAGCTGTGATGACGATGGCGATTACTACCGTGATTGATCGTATAGCCGCTAACAGACTGTTGGGGCAAGTGCTGTTAGCGAGCACCTATGAACACCAGAACGGCACACGACGAGGTGGGTGGCCAGCACCACGCCTGGCCGTCTTTGTCTCACCAGTGGCGATGTTTACACATTGCACAAGATAGTCATTTGAGACTGAGTGGACCTAGGGGAGGCCCAGGACTGGTTCAGATAATCGTCACTGATTTTGGCCCTGAGCGGGAATCGAACTCGGGTGGCCAGGTTCGTAGCACAATGCACTAACCGCTACGCTACAGCTTCCCACAAGCACACATTCAGCCCTGCAATTCCCTTGCTCACACCACCGCTGGCAGAAGGGAACTCTGCGGTTTGGTGGACGTGCGGCTTACAATGCACCAGTTCATTATAAAAAACCAGCCACGATAAAGTGTTGTGTTCATTGGATCTTTCGGTAAAGTCATGTAGGTAGAATAATAAAATAATAAACAATAAAATAAAATATTATACAAATATGACGACGTTTCGATCGCAATACAAGCAATCGTCATTGCTTTTCACCTGATGACAATTGCTTGTGTTGCGATCGAAACGTCGTGATATTTTAATTATTTTTAATTAA